AGAAATGGAACAGACAGATAGTTCTAAATAAGTGGCCAATTACATATTTCAAAACATGTTTATTAATAATAAGCAGTCAGTGTAAATTATTGTGAAAATAAAAAAATTACATTTTTGAACCTAATGTACTGAGTGGAGAATAAAACTAATTATTATGAATTTAAAATAATTAATTTTTACTAAGAGTAAATATTTAATGATTAAATAAAACATATTTACGTATTGTTCTTAACGATTTATGTTTTAAACTAATTTTATAACAGAAATAAATTAATATTTAATTTTTCAGTAGTCATTGCTGGGTTTCGATCTAATATCATGTTAAACTTTTACAATTAATAAAATTTAAATAATATAATAAAATGTTTTGTTATTGGTTTTAATATAATATATTGTAAAGATAACTAAGTTTGTTGGTACTGCAACCTTGACCTAGTCTTGGTGGCGGCCTGCTACATAAACGAATCAACCGGTTGAGAATTTAATGGTATATAATATATAATATATACAGTGTTTCTCAATCTGGGGAGAGGGTCACGACCCCCTTAGTGGTCACCAACTTATTATTTAGAGTCACGTATGATTTAAAATTTTCAAACAATACAAAAATTAAAAAGCTTCAATAATAAAATAAAATAATGAAAAATAAAATCATTAAATATTACAATATTATATAATACGAGTATACCATATATTATTATATATATATTTTTTATATTGTCTAACAAAATTAACGCATTTCTAAAAAAGATTGGACTATGGATAAATCGAATAAAAAAAGTACATATTTGATATGTTTCCGAATTATTTTAACATTGCTCAGGAAAATATATTGTCAAAAAATGAAATTAATGAAAAAAATGTGTATTATAATTGAAGAACATTTATGTAAACCGAAAGAAAAATTTTCCAAATATTTTCACCCCACTAAAGACATTCGTAAAAATTATAATTGGTTAATATATTCATTCGTGTAACCTGATAAAAATATATTATCATTATTAAATTAAGAAAAACTGATTGAATTGAGTTCAGATGTGGGCTTATACGAGATTTTTAAAAGCAACAAAATATATATAGGTCAATTTTGGGTAAAGATTTAAAATTAATATACTAGTTTGGCCAAAGAAGTATTAAAAGTACTCATTCCATTTTCAACAACATATTTGTGTGAAAATGGATTTTCCACAATAACTAAAATAAAAAATAAAACTAGAAATCGACTGGACATTTCATCAGCTAGGTATAAGAATTAGTTTAATAAAGTCAATTACACCAAGAATTGACGAAATAATTTTATATCAACAACAACAACCAAGTCATAAAGAACCTTAATTTACAAATATATTTATAGGATAAAATATTTGGTATACGTTTTTTAATTTAAAAAAAATATATAATATTATATGTATTTTATGTTTTTTCTGTACACTGTACAATGTGCAATGTACAGTACTTATAGTATTAATTATTAACAGTAAATTATGCGAATATATAAAAAAAATATATTTAGGGGTCGCCACAGTAAAAAGGTTGAGAAACACTGATATATACTATATATTTTTTTTGGAACGGTTGTATCGAATTATCTCGGTTACTCTATACGGGGAGTCTAGTTAAGTAATAACATAAGTACTTCCACATTATATTATCATTATTATTTCCAACATTATAATAATAACACGACTATAACGGAAAAACTATTATACCATGAATTTGTTGATATAGTTTACAAACTATTATCAAAACAGTTACATTTTTAAACACTAGGTTATAGACCATTAAGGTATTAATCTAAATAGGTACAAAATAGGCTTAAAGCATAGTACGATCAGTATAACAGCTTGTTGTTTTTAAATACATCTGTAGTTAGGTACGTGCATAAAATAACTGTTTTTTTTTTTTTTGGGGGGGGCTTATGTTGTACATTTTTATATTTATATAATCTATAAAAACATATTTCATATTTTTCCTGAATTTAGAGAGAGTTTGAACCTCTAAGTCTTTCCCTTGTGTATGCCCATATCTGTAATATTCAAAACAAAATAAGTCGATGCAACTATTGGTATATTGTATTTTTATAAATACCTTCTTCATAAGAATTAACACTTATAGACAGCGAAGGGATTTGATGTAATCAATAAGTTTAATTATTATAGTTTATAGTATATGGTGTGGTGAGCATTGATAAACTACATGTCCAACATATATTTTTCAGTAGTTATTATTGATTTTATAAGAATTAAGAAAATAAAAATGTAAATTTCACAATAGTTTAAGTTTTTATATTTTTAAATTGTAATAACTGTTATAACAATTATTTATATTAAAATACTATCTAGAAACATATATAGAATTATTTAATTTAAAAAGTGTTTATAAATGTATACCTATTATTAATCGTGGTATTTGAGTATTTCATTATACATGAGTAGATAGTGAAAAAACACCGTTACTATTGCGAATAAATCGTGTATGATACCATTTGATAAACGTGTACTATTATTGTCCAAATAATATCGTTATTGAACGAGTGTGCACACACACCCACAATTATAATTAATAATATATATATATATAAATGTAGATATAAATGTTTGTTAATTAGTTTACTCAAAGATACACTAAACATATCAAAGTATATGAATGTACAAACTTTTATTTTACTTATTCCGGTTCCCTGCTGCTACAACAGTTGTCATTGATATCGTATTTACGATACACAAGTACGTGACCGGTGTGTCGAGATTAACCTACTTGGGAATGACACTCACCACCAATCGACAGACGGATAACCGTTCTGATGGGCTACTCTCACTATACACATAGTACATATATTATTATATACATACGTATAAATAGTAGCATAACACGTACTGCGGCCGAGCCCGTAAATCTACACCTAGGTATCCGCATCATCTGCTTTGAGGATGATGATTAAAGAAAAAACAACTTTCGCTCATATTTGCTCACTAATTATTGTGTTACACGTGCACATAGTAATAATGTATCTATTACAGTTCAGTAATATATATATATAATACATAGTAGTGGTCAGAAGTGAAAAAAAAGTAACACTTGTGCACGTGGATATCAAAATATTACATGGAAATCGAGGGGAAACGAATATAAAACGTTATTATATGTTTAAGAAAATAAATCGGTACACAACTCTCACTGGGTCGTCAATGTAATTAATCCATTTTTATTTTCAAATTAAAATTTTAAACATTTTTTAACGTATGATTTTAGTACGACTAATTTATTAGTATTAGGAAAACTTGAAATATTGTATTAAGTATGAATTAAAAACTAAATTAAAATTTGACCCGTTTCAAAGTCGAATATATATACGAGTATATGCATATATATGATTGGGCGAATATTAATTTATGAGAGCTACTTCAACGTTAAAAAAATACGATAAATGTACTGTATATAAGGTCATGATGTTTAATTACAATTTTTTTTTTTTTTTAAATACTACAATTGTATTTGGAAGTTTTAAGCAATTGCTACAATAGTAAATTAATATGTAAATATAGATAAACAGGTGTTTATAAATAATGGGATGCGTATTTCTAATGTAAGCATTTTGATAAACTTATTTTTTTTAACAGTGTAATTAATATATAATATAATATAATTAGTGATTTTTATTTGTTTTGTATTTACTGTTCAATAGGGGTCGTTAAAACGTAAAACACATTGTTCTGCCATGTGATAATTGTACGTATTGTGTGAAATTGAAAGCTATTATGTATATATTTGTATTACACGATAAAATTCTCGCAAAATAGTTTTTTCAATTCAAATCATCGGAGCATATCGCTTTTTTAATTTAGTAAAAAAATTACTGTTTAAAATAAAAAAACTCGTAATTATTTTTCTATTTTTTCCCTCTATATTTTTCTATATTTAGTATTTTTCGTAACGAACTCGCGTATTACACACAATAATATTTTGATTTAACTACTGTCGTAATAATCCGCAATACGTATATTATTGTTGCCAATGATAACAATGGGTATTAAAGCCGTAGTCTTCATTTATTATTATGTTATGTATTATGTTTTGTTAGTGATGTCTAACCAGATACGTCTCCTACTGTTATTATTAATATACAAAAGGAAAATGCAATGAACCCATTAGATGCTGCGTGGTACTACGATTAAATATGTATATGCGCACATTTACCTACCTACACGTACGGTATAGTGTTAGAAGTATTTAGATTAAAATTGACATAAACTCGTTTCACTTAATATAAGAAGCGGATTCGCATTTCCGTATGGAAATTAAAATTCCAATCGTGATGCGTGTAGAAATTCGAGTGTTCTACCCGTTGGTAGACCTCGTTATTTCGATGCGTATGTTATAAGTTCAAAATTCTTATTGCATCGTTTGAATCGGTTCGTTGGACTTTACCATTACATTGGGAATCGTTTCACATCGCCCCCACAAATAAATAGCACACGCGGTGATCTGAGTAGTAAAAGCATTTTGCGCACTAGTTTATACTGTATATAATTCAAATTGTAAATAATCATTTTTGATTTTAAAACAATTATTATTATTATTATTATTATTATGACGATAATTTTGTTTATTTTTTCTTTCTCTCCGTCTTAACATAATTATTTAAATAACATATTCGATCCTTTATTCTCCTATCACTTTATTTATGTACTTGAAATTTGGACTTGACCCGTTCAAAAATAAAATAGAAAACCTCATTTTAATATGTATATAGGTGTAATCGTTGGTGAGTTCTATCGTAGTCAAAAGCAAAAGCATACTGTGTGGCAAACCGAAGTTTTCAAAAGATTTAACTTTGCCCGGAACTTTGAAAAATGTATACTCACAATGTTCGTGCACTTACCATTTGGGTTATCGGTACCTTAGTCCGAGTGAAAGCGATATTTGTGAGCATATGTGTACGAGTGTGTGTCATAAAAAGGTTTATTAATTTTTAATTTTTTTTTCTTCAATATACTCACATGCGAGCCACTTGTGTTCCGTATTCAAAACAACCACCGCATGCGAATCGGCAACGGTCGGCACGATTTTCTTTCGGCGGCGGGAGAATTCGCGTCCTACAGCGTCGAACACGTCATGTTCGCCCTAGAGGAGGAGGATGATGAAGGTGAATTGGATAAAAGTACTGGAGGAAAAAAATGACAAAAAATTGAAAAATCTTCGACTAAAGATAATATTGTTATTACGAAACGCGGCGGACGTCACTCCGATAGGCTCACAGCGATAGAAGTTGTACGTGCGAAACCGTTTTCAAATTTTATTTAATCACGAGAACTGTTAGAAAAAAAAAAAAAATGTTTATCCGACCGCAGGATGACAACTACACGACTGCACGATGCCGGATACGCAAGGACTGCCGGACACGGTACGATAGAAAGTATCACACGCATCGGAATACCGACTTCCACTGCAAACCAGTAGATTTTCGTGTACTGTACCGTTGGCCGCGAGAGCGAGGGACTACATTTTAAAATAATAATTAGCACAGTGCTGCCACGTACCGGCCGAAGCCGCCGTCGCTTTCGAGTCTCAAATGTGTTGTACACGCACGCGCGTGCGCTCGCTCCGTCACAACCGTCATCGCACCGTGTTAACACCTATTCAATTGATTTGGTCATTTTTTTTGTTCCTAGATAATCTAGGCTAGATTCCTAAAATCGTATTCCACATTTGCATGTTATTATATCATTGTCCACCTCACGTGTTACGATCATCGTTGATATCCACTCAACAAATTCTCGTTCCGTTAACTGCATACTATTTATGTTTTTCTTTTCAACACTAGATCGTGATGTGTTGTTTATAATACATTATTATCTAAAATGTTCTAACACTTTTTTCCCTGCCAATATGCTTTACGTACGGTTTTGTTTTTTTTTCTCTACTTTTTTTTGCCGATAAACTTTCAAAGATCGAATACCACACGCCAATATATACGCTTTTAATTATGTTGTTCTTGTTTCTATTGAGACCCAAGAGATTACTCACGACATACCGATTCAACTGTCTAAATGTATTAGTGTACCTACTGTATCTTTTGAATCTCTCTCTCTCTCTCTCTATATATATATATATATATAAATAAATAAAGTAATAATGTATAATATATAAGCATATTTTTGATGTGGACGATTATTATTGAAATAATAATTTAGTTGTCGTTCGAAATCAGACTATTTATCAAACACCACAGTTCATTGTACTAACACTTCCACATACTACCAAATATTAATATATTTGTCAAATCACCTGTGTATAATATCAATTAATATTTGTCAATAATAGTTGGCATTTAAAACAATATACCTATCGTTAAAATTTCTATAAGTCGAAATTTAAAATTGAATTTTTTTTTAATTAAATTTTAATTTTTTGCTAGAAATTTCCTTTAAAAAAGTTGTAATAAGTGTTTTACTTAAAAATGTATAAAATAGAGTGAGCTGAATCCATAATATAATTATTTAGAAATGAATAAATATTCCTTTTGAAATGTGTTTAATAAAAACCAATTCCTATTTTCTGGATTTCAATTTTAGGAATATTACTACTATTATTAAACAGAATGTTGAGGTATTCACTTTTATTCTCATAAATCAATTCAATGACATCTAGTATTAATAAATATTATAAATTTAATCTAATTTTTTTAAAACTTCGCTTTGTATTTATAAGAATATTTATACACTTAATTAATTTGTCTTTAGTTCTTTTATCTGTAATGCAAATTATAATTTTCAAATAAATTAACTTAATGTTAATGTTTATGTTTACAAGTAATAATTGATTATTTTTTCAATATATACATATGTAAACATATGTCTTATTATGATTATATAAGTTACAAATATTTTTACAACATATTTATGTATTATATGACACGAAATATATATTATAATAATAGGGATTTAAAAATTCGATATTTTCACAGCTTGAGCTTAAATTATAATTTTACCCCAAGACCTTACATGTATACTAGGTAGGTCATTGAAAAATTACCGTACTGTACGAATTGTATACTATATCATATCTTAAGACTAAAGAAATATTCTGGCAACACAAATTCTATGATAGTGATAGCGATGTTTCTTAAAAATCAATACTTTTATCGGTATAATGTAACGATCATGGGTACTCTGACACTATTAACCTAGAAGCAAAAAAATGTTTAATGTTTTCAGTATTATTTAATAAATTAATTCTAATTATTCTAAAAATAATTAAAATACTTTCGTTGTATACAAATAAATATGAAAATTATATTTCATGACTGACATTTATTTAGGTTGTAAAAGTAATAAAAAATACACAATTAAAAATTAGTAAAATCGTAGACATTAATTAACGCATAACTAATATAGGTGTTGTTTTTAAGTAGGGATAGTTACGCATTACCTCACATAAACTTACTGCATTTCATGTCATTGATGTGGTTAGAGTGAGTAATTACGATTTAGTATAATATATTTGTAAGAATAAAAAAAGAGTGATATTAAATAGTCTCATAATTTAATATAGTATATACTTCCTCTTATGCAAAATATATAAAGTATTATTTAGTAGGCGTATTTTACATGATTTTCGTTAATTAATTTATTCTTATCGAATAAAAGCAAGCGTTATCACAAGTATTTGATGTAATAAAGTTATTTAAATCGTAATTTATGGAAACATTTAAAACGAAATAAAATACTAATTTTTATCTTATATCCTAATTTAGATTAAATTGCTTAATGTGTACTAACTAATACCAATTCTATAAATCATGTGATGTCTAAATAGTTTGTATGATAACATTTTGACCTTTTTTAAATTCATATTGAAGCCATTGTATCATAAGAATAAGTAGGATTGGAAAGAAAAAATAAAATCAGTTGGAAATAATGTTATACCCTAAATTTATCTAAGTATTTGATGTGCTTGTATGGAATAAATACAATTACAATTACAATTTAACACACAAAAAATCAAATAACACATTTGTATATGTTCTTGGGAGAGGCTATCACCCCTTCTCTGAATGCGCACGTGTTGGTACTGTAATTTTTTTTTTCATAAAAACGTGTAACTTTGAATCCTCTTCATTTACCAATCGAATATTTCACGGAAGACTTTTTTTTATCGATTGATACGCTAATAATTTATAAAAAAATGTCTAACCTTCAATAATATTTAATTTTATATGTCAATATTTGATGTTATGGAAGGTTCACGTGCATCGATTCGGTTTCGTAGAGTAATTTTAAACATGTTACCTGATTATTATTGCTATCCAATACATCAGGAAATCTAATAACGAAGAAAACCATTAAACATAAGTGATAAATAATAGCACTAATAACAATAATTATTGAATTAAGCATTGGTCACACTACCCCCGATATTGGCCGATTCGAGACTGTCGAATTCGTCCGATTTTTCGGGTTCATTTATCGGCCGAATTTTTTGGTCTCACTGTACCCGTCATCGGTCAAATATACACATCCACGCGTTTGAATATATTGTAATATGCCTCATTCGTGGTTCAGTAGTTGTATGAAATGGAAGTAATCAACCAACTTTATTTTTTGGAAACCAGTCCTGTTCTAAAGTATTTACTGTTCAGTGAAAAAGTAGAAAGGCAATGGTGGGTCAATAGAATATTTGAAGAAAGGGAAAGATATGGTGAATTTCACACGCTTTTCCCACAACTTTTAAAACAGCCAATCAAATTCTTTGAATATATGAGGGTATCAACTGGAACCTTTTTTTATATTTTGGAAAAAATTCGTCCATACATAGAAAAGTATTGCAGTTTCAGAAAATGCATAATTCCAGAAGAAAGACTTGTAGTAACTTTAAGGTAAATATTATTATTAGTATTAGTATTAGTATTATTGTTAATATATTAACATATATTACCTATAGGTAATCATTAGTTTATAATTTCTCAATTAATATATAAAATAACTAATATGAAATGTGATAATTATAATTTTCCGAGCTATTATTACGTTTTTTTTTTTTTACACAGTAATAATAATTGTTCAACTATATTGGTATTATTTCGAAACGATACGCGGGAAATATCCATTTTCGGCTTCAAACGGCCGATAAAAACAAATAATATTGTTTTTGCCCGTTCGAATTCGGCTGAATTCGGCCGATATCGGGCGTAGTGTGACCAATACCTTAAAAATGTTTTAGTTGGTCAGTGTTTATATATTATAGTCATCGAGTTATATAATTATTTGTTTTGTAATTCTGTGTGTTTTCGCAGGTTGGCATGACGGATCGAAACTTCTGTATATTTACTCAGTCGAATGCAAATGCCTACACTTATTTTTTATTTGATCTTCCCTATTTAAAATAATAACTATATTTTTTATTTAAGTTCTAATAAAGTTTAGTTAGTAAATAGTTATTATTATAACTAATAAGTATTTATTTCTATCTGATTTAGTTTTTTTCTTGTGATTTTACATTTTAAATAAGTACTTCGCCTAGTTAGAAAAACAAGTGGATTAATGTGATTTTATATCAAATTAACATATTTTAATTATTTTACATATTTTAAGTTCTTAATATGAATACATTACAGTAGACTCTAGAGCTCTAGACAGTAGGCATGGTTCATTAAATATTTACATTCATATTAAAATATTTTTCAAAGAACAATGGAATTAATAATTTTTAATTTAAAAATAAATGAAAAACATTGAGTAGAGAGTGACTGAGTGAGAGGCCTATTATTTTTAAAGAAACATTTTTAACTACAAATTATTATTCAGGATTGGATTCTTCGAATGTGAAACAAAAGCATTACAAATTAAAGGTATACACGATTCACATACAGAGAAAAATCAACATGCGCAGTCACCATTTTGGATTAGCCTTCATTTTGGTGGGTGTGTATAAAATAGTTATACAGAAGTGTACTGACTAATGAGTATGTTATTATTTTAAAAATTTTGAAATTATACAAATATAATATGTATTACATATAATTAAGTACAAAATTCAAATTTCAAGCATATTTTTCTGATAAAACGCGTTACGTATAGGTATCTACAATCCAACAAATTGTGTGTTTAATATGCAGGGTATGCCAGTGCATACCTAAAATTTCCAAATACTGTATTTTGGCCTGAATCCAATTTTTCTGCGCCGTATCAACAAATGGAATCCTGTGATCCTGGTTTCAACTTTTCTGTTATATATTAATACCTAATATGTAATAATCAATAATCAATTATAATTGTATATATTTTTCCACATATATTTTATCATGGTTACGAAAGTGATAACGATTTCTGTAGCCTCTGTTTTTCTCAACCAGTCATCTCCCCCCAACCACAAACGGCTGGTCGACTGCAGCACTGTTAAGGTGCATCCTCACAATACCAATCGGCAATACCGATTGGCAAAGCTGCACTAATGTGGACGTGACTGTCAG